CTTGCTTTTCAGTGGCCTATGTGACTTTTTGCTAATAACTGACATACAAATATTGTCGGAGCCAGACTAGACTGAACTGGAGCCTGAGATGAGGTGTACTTGGCAATAAAATGACCAGGTGGTGACAGAAGGGTTGACATTGAAGGTAGTAGCAGTGCAGCAGAAGATACAAAGACATGCCAAGACATATACTGTCTACGAAAGATAAGGGTTAAAGGGGAAATGTCAGATTTCTGAAATTTACATCATCGACAAAAATATTGAAAATCACCTATAACTTCTGTTAATGTTTTTGGTTGTTTGCTTTTTCACCAGATTCTCAGTATTTCTTTAAAACTTCTATGAAAGATTTATGATTGATGTTCATACAAGGCAAAGCCTGGGCTATATATTATACATGAAGTGTAGCTGCCCCTCTGGCATCGAGTAAATAACGAGAGGAGAGCTTCTGGCGGGTGCAGTACTTTTATTCTTTTGCATCAAAGCACCGAGCACCATAAGCATTGAGCACCGCAAAAACAGTAATCGGACATACAAATACATTTGTTTACAGAGTTTCACCAAAAGGGTTACAAACAGGATTACAAATGTGCAGATATCTGCATACATCGATATTACATTCAACATCTGAGGAATACAAACTATATACAGAGATTTGGACTATAGTACTTTTATACAAACGTTGGCTTGTATACAACATATCTTTTAACGAACGGCAGCAGCAAAGCCTGAAATGTCTAGTAAAGGACAGAGGAAACAACAAACTGGGAATGCAGCTGAACTTTCTATTATGGTCTATCTGCGGCATGGAGTGATTAAGCCTGGCGACATCTCTATGTAGGGAGAGCACCTTCTTCGTTATTATTGCAGGGATCTAAGCTCATATGTTTTGTTGCCTGTTACTTGTCTCTTACTCATATCTAATACACAGTGGCACCAATGCTAATCATACTGTCCGTAATAAATTGTCTGTAAATCAGGCTATACCAACTAAATCTCTACTGACATATTCCTTATTTTGTTTATATAGAATTACTACTCCATTATTTATAGCCATGTCAAGGCAACATTATTAGCCTATAAGCTCAGTTTTTGTATATTGTCTGAACATGCATTCCGAGCCTGTTTTGATATTACCAAAAAATTGGTGTAGTTACCTCGAATGCCGTATAACTGTAATAGTATGTATTATGTTAACATTGCTTCTGCTGTTGAGGCATTGCATGAACGTTAGTCTTTCTATGCACAGCACAAAAACAAAAGAAAAAGAAATGTGGCTTTCTACATTTAAGTTTTTTTCACGCCTCACATATTTTTATTATTATTTTTTTAGTAAATATGGGTAAAAGCAAAGATATTATAAGAAAACTACAGGAGTGACTGCCCCACTTTAAACATTCTCTTTGTGTTTAATAGACCTGATTTGTACACAATCCTTTTCAGGTTTTGGCAGATAAATTATTAGGAACCGTAGTCCAGCACAGTTTAGGACTTTGTAGGACAGTGTAATTAGACTAGGCTGATATCCAATGATACAATTGAAAGTGCCAAAGCCATTATGGAAGAACACCAAATGTTGATGCAATCCAGAATGACAAATCCAGAATGACAAACAAGTGTAGTGCCTATTTACTATCATAAAATATCTCAACAAGACGTAAGCACAAACTGTCTTCAAAGTTTCAGTCGTCTCATTTTGTATTCCCCACAACTCCTGACTACCCCATTTTTCCTTGTGCAAGATAAATTAAATGCATTTGACATTAGCTCATCAGTTTAATCCATAATGTTTCGGCTACGCTGTCTCTGCTTCTTAATAACTTGAGACGTGACAGTCATTAGCTGTAAAACAAGCATACTGAGTGATGGCTGACAAAGCAAGAGAGAGATGCATTCAAAAACAGAATCTAGTTATTATTCCAATGGTACCTTGAAATTAGCTTTACACAAGGTAACCTAGATCGACCTACTTTAACTTTACATGATTGCACATTAACGCAAAGAATCTGCCAAATGCTTATTCTGTGAAGAATATCTGAATTTTGAAAAAGGGGAAATTCCAACTTTACTACATTTCTATTTTTTATTATGAAAAATTTCTGAATGCTGGATTTAATTGGTACAGAGTACCGGTCCCCTGTCCATACACATTCTATGTTTAGTTATGTTCCTAGCAGTGTAGTGGAATTTGTAGTATGTTTGTGATGGTGTGGTTTAGGTTCAGTATTGTTTGTTCTTGGGTTATGCATGTTTGTCCAGACTGTTCCAACAATTGGCTCTCCTCTTTAGAGAATTGAACAGGAACGAAAAATGAATTGTTGGTCATTCTTTACATAATTTTCCTTTTCCTGATATTTCCCCCCCCAAACCAGGAATGTTCTTGTGTTCATTTCCTTCTTTGCTGAATTGCTTCTACAGCAGTAAAGATGGTTTGTGGTTTGTGTGTTCATGGATTTGGTTTTGAAAGCTTCATTTTAAAGTTCTGCTATAACTTTAAAAATAGCCATTGTGACAGTGGAAAACAATACATTTTGATTTGGTTGTGTAACTCGGAGTCAAAGCTGTGTTGGATCATAGAAGGTATTTGGACACACGCTTACCTAACCAATAAAAACATTTCTTTACTCATAATTTAGTAACTCAACCTGTATGTTTACTCACATTAAAATGTCTAAATTGCTGCTGAGTTTGGTTATTAGGAAGAATGGCTGGAATAAAATCCAATTTTATTAAGACACGGAGGCTCCTATTATGCTGCACTCTTTCTTTATTTCCATCAGCAGCAAAGAAAACTTTAACAATGAAATAAACACAGGAACAGTCAGTAACGTGTATCTTCCATGGCAACCAACAGCCAATCCGGTTCCACTCTCCAGCATAATAGGCTGTGTTCCCTGAACTATTTCCTCTTTCTTTGCTGCTCCCTCAATTAAGTACACTGATCCCATAGTTTCTTAACGGTGGGATTGTTATCTTATATATTTATACTTCTATATTGATATGTATATGTTTATATCTAGTTATATATATTTATAATTTTGTCTTTTAGTTGGTTATAATACTTTTGTCTTTGGTTTAATTTTCGTTTTATTGTATTTATGTTATGATTATTTTTTATGTAAATAAATTTATATGGTACTTTTCCCCTCCCGGTTCCCTTTAGTCCATTTTATGGGGCACCGGGAGGATTTTTCCTTGTCTCCGGTTTAATGCTTTCAGTTTTCTAACCTACTTTTACTGCCTTTGCGGTGTTCTTTGCATCCTTTTTCTTTTAATTTAACGGTTTCCTCAGTTCGTGTGTTGGGGCATATGTACCATTCGGTATTTTTGTCATTCGTTGGTTTTCTTTTCACCGTTTGTGGGTTTTGCATGAACAATTTATTGGTGCGAGACTGCACAGGCGTGCAGTTCGTTTCCTTCCGACGTTCGTTCATTTCACAGGAGTCTAATAGACTTTTCAAACAAACAGTCGGTCGTTTCGTGGAATTTCGCCATTTGCCCCTTCCTGTTTCACCTTCTTGGGGTTTAGTAGTTTTGGCGAACAGACGGCTCTTTTACTCTCTCTGCGCTTATTTCAGATGGTAAGTTTGACTTTGTTTTTCAGCATTTTCCCTACTTGGGTTACTCAACCCTATAGTCAGGTTACTTTACTACTTAAAGTTATGCCAAAAATTATTTAATTATGCAGTCTAACAGGGATTTAACTTTGCCCTCTGAGTCTCAGACGACCCCTCACGTTCCCTGCGGTAACCCGGGGGAAGGGACTCGGTCCCCTGATTTCTCAGCATCTGCGAACATGCAGGTGCTCTTCAACACCTCAGTCTCTAGGTCCATTACGCAGGCTATGGTATCTGCTATGTGTGCTGTGTCGACTTCTTTGTTGCATACTATTACCCAGACCCTCTTGCAAACCCAACAGTTTGCGTAGCAGACTGGTATGTCAACTGCATTTACCCTGACACCAGTCTCTCAAGGCCGTAAAGCTACGGCCAAGACCAAACATTCCTCCAAAACTGTATTGACTGACAGTCTGCCTAAAGTCACAGATGGCGCGCAACCACCGCCGCACAAAAGAGCCACTAGCCAGGTAAAATCGGCTAGATTATGGAAGCGGGCAAGAGCCCAGCTTGATTCGTCTGAGTCAGAGCTCAGCGACATTGAGGAGGAAATGGACGAGTCCGGTAAGGACGTCTTGGATGGTCAGTCCGAATCAGACTCTGACGGTGCGATTGGAGGGGCATCCACCTCCTCCCTCAGCACTTTACCCGCTACCCGCTACGATGTCAGGGGGCCAGGTAAGTCTGTCTGGGTCTGGTGACTGGATCCTCTGGGTTTACCCCTTTTTGACCCAGATGAGCTTAGACATCCGCATTCAGCGGAATGGTGTCCTTCTGACCATGTGGCAAAATATATTGCTTCCAGAGTACGTAAGCCCTTGGCTAAGGCTACTCGAAATAAACTACAGGCAGAATGCCCCCGTCCCACTGTCCCAGATGACGCGTGTAAAATGCCCATTGTTGACCCCAAAATTGCCCAATTCCTAGGAAAAACTGGATGGAAGCCTACATTTTGCTTTAAATAATTGTCAAGACAAGATCTTGGACCTTTTGGGCCCTGCGGCAAAAATCTTCGATGCGGTCAAAGACGACCAGGATCTAGATAGGGATTTCATCCGTGGTTGGATGCAAAGGATAATTTGCCTAGTGGGCAACGTAAACTCTGCGCTGGCTACCGAGCGCCGCAAGTCCATCTTCCTGAAAATCGAGCCAAAGCTGGTTAATCTAGCTATTAATGAGCCGGGTGCCCAGGCTAAAGGGCTGTTATTTGGTGACTCTTTTGTGAAAGAGTTGGGGTCTTTTGTGCACACCTTCACGGCTTTAGCTAAAGCCCAAAGCAACATGTTCAAAATCTTTCACCAAAAGATTTTTGCCGGGGCCTTCTGTCCGGCCTTATTCAGAGAGGTTTGTATGGGCAGAACCGAGGTTTCTATTTGGGACGAGCTGGCTTTCAGGAGCCAAGGGGCAGACCTAAGTTGCTAGGGGCATCCGAGGAGCTCCTTCTGGAGGACGACCTTATGGTAAGTGTCTACTCTCCCCTTTCTTCCCTTCAGGTTGTGACAGGCAGACTCATACATTTTTCTCATGTGTGGTCGCATCTGACATCAGATGCTTGGGTCTTTAAGCTGTAACAGGTTATTGCATAGATTTTGTGTCACACCCAATCCAAATCTCCCCTCCCAGAGAGATTGTTTTTTTCCCAACACGATACCATGGGTGTCGGCAGGAATTGTTCCGGGGGGGGCATAATTGCAATGACATCCATGCTTGGTCCCTTTTTGACGGTGTCATGAAAGGGAAGGGTCATAGTCATTATCACATAAAGCCAGGGTGAATAGCGTTTTCACAACTATGGTGTCAGGAATACATGTTTGTATACTATAGTGTTCCTTTAAGCAAATTAAAGGAACATTCTGATCACCATAACAACTTCATCTAAATGAAAATGCTATGATGCCAGGAAGCCCCTAGGTGCTCTTTCCTTTAAGGGGTTAAACCGCTCTTAAATGGTTTAACCCTAAAGGCTTCCTCCAGCTCCAGATCTCCAGGTTGCTCAGTGGTATTCGGCTTCTGAAACGGAGTGTCAGGAAGTGCAGAGTGACGTCAGGCATGGGTGCTGCAGATTGGCTAGAGTGGTCAGTTGACGCTCTAAGCCAATCGCTAGTTCCCGGTTCATAAAGATGTTTTACTTTTTTATGAATTGGGGGCTACTGATTGGCTTAGCGTGCCAGCTGACTGCTCTAGCCAATCAGCGACACTCCTACCTAGCGGCACTCTGTGCTTCCTGACACTCAGTAAATAAAAGTGAACACATTAACACTGAGATTCTTTTTTACGTGGGGAGATGAGAAGGTCCAAAGTTTCCCTGCCAGGCCCAGGTACCAACACCTTATGATGTGGTGTCTACAATAAAGTGGAGGGTTCACTTGATTTGTCCTTCCTGCTCCAATCTCCTTTTCTTCTCCCTCATTTGACAGTCTTCTTTTTCTTCTGACATTGTCTTCTCTCCTCCTTGGCTCCTTTTACATTTCTGCTACTTTCTGTTATTTTGCGCCCTTCTGCTCCTTTCTCTTTCTGATCCCTTTCTGATCCTTGCAGACCCTTTTTGCTCCTTCTCCTACTTTACCTTTGTGCTCCTTGCTGTCCCTTTCTGCTCCTTGCTACCCTTTTCTGCTCCTTCTCCTACTCTTCCTTTGTGCTCCTTCTGATTCTTTCTGCTCCTTTACCTTTGTGCTCCTTCTGTCCCTTTCTGCTCTTTGCAGACCCTCCTTGCTCCTTACAGACCCTCCCTGCTCCTTACAGACGTTTCCTGCTCCTTGCAGACCCTTCCTGCTCCTTGCTGACCCTAATTTCTGCTCCTTCTCCTACTTTACGTCTGTGCTCCTTCTGCCCTTTCAAGCTCATTGCTGACCCTTTCTGCTCCTTGATGTCCCTTCCTGCTCATTTCTGTTCCTTCTCCTACTTTACCTTTGTGCTCCTTCTGTCCCTTCCTGCTCCTTGCTGCCCTTTCCAGCTCTTTGCTGACCCTTTCTGCATCTTTCTGCTCCTTCTACTTTACCTTTGTGCTGCTTTACCTTCCAGCTCCTTGCTGACCCTTCCTGCTCTTTGCTGACCCTTCATTCTATTTGCAAACCCTTCCTTCTACTTGCAGACCCTTCCTGCTCCTTGCTGCCCCTTCATGCTCCTTGCTGCCCCTTCATGCTCCTTGCTTCCCCTTCGTTCTCTTGCTTCCCCTTCATTCTCCTTGCTGCCCCTTCATTCTCCTTGCTGCCCCTCCGTTCTCCTTGCTGCCCCTTCCTGCTTCTTGCTGCCCCTTCTTTCTTCTTGCTGCCCCTTCCTGCTCATTTCTGTTCCTTTGTGCTCCTTCTCCTACTTTACCTTTGTGCTCCTTGCTGTCCCTTCCAGCTCCTTGCTGCCCCTTTCTGCTCCTTGATGTCCCTTCCTGCTCATTTCTGTTCCTTCTCCTTTATGCTTCTTCTCTTACTTTACCTTCCTGCTCCTTGCTGACCCTTCCTGTGGGCTGTCTCCCCCATCCCTCACTTACCTGATCTATAGGCTGCCTCCCCCCATCCCTCACTTACCTGATCTATAGGCTGTCTTCCCCCCATCCCTCACTTACCTGATCTGTAGGTGGATCCCCCATCTCTAAGTTACCTGATCTGTATGCTGCACCTCACCTCCCCATCTCTTACTTACCTGATCTATAGGCTGTCTCTTCCCCCAACCCCCAACTCTCACATACCTGATCTATAGGCTTTCTCTCCCATTCCCCTCATCCCTCACTTACCTGATCTATAGGCTGTCTCTTCCACCCCCCATCCCTCACTTAACTGATCTATAGGCTGTCTCTCCCCTTCCCACTTCCCACTTCCTGATCTGTAGGCTGCTCCCAATGCCTCACTTCCCTGATTTGTAGGCTGCCCCCCAATGCCTCACTTCCCTGATCTATACGCTGCCCCCCATGCCTCACTTCCCTGATCTATAGGCTGCCCCCGTCATTTTCCTGATCTGTAGGCGGCCCCCATGCCTCACTTCCCTGGTCGATAAGCTGCCCCCCATGCCTCACTTCCCTGATCTATAGGCTGCCCCATGCCCCACTTCCCTGATCTATAGGCTGCCCACTTCCCCATCCCTCACTTACCTGAACTGTAGGCTGTCTCTACAGGCTGGGAGTTGCTGGCTGCATATGCTGCTCCCCTGCGGATTCAGTCAGGAGAGAGAAGCAGAGATAAGATGTAGCTTCCTATCCCTGTCTCTCTCCATGCACAGTGCCACCTACTGGCCGGCGTTGGTATTGCACTGTATTTTCAATCTCACACGAAAAATTGCTGAAGAATCTGAAAAATCCAGGGAAGAAGTTACCTTATTTGATATGTGTTGGAGTAGGTCACAGTGTGATTCAATAAAATGGAAAAGTATTTGCAGAATAAAACTGCAGGAAGCTAGCCCTGTATTCCCTACTTATACATAATAAAATGATTATAAAGATGTCCGCTACGATTCTCAGTATTTGTGTGTGTGTGTGTGTGTATATATAGCAAAAAGAGCTATGGTGAAATTGCACTGTATGCCATATTTTCCACATGATAGGTTAGCTATCCTTGCTAGTGAATTTAACACCTCTCAGATTATAAAACCATAATCTTGTTTATGTGGAAATATAATCTTGTTTTATTGGCCACATGGTTTTTGCCTGTCTTCTCTCTCAAAATGCTTGGCGTTCATTAGGATTAGACCATATCAAGTCTGTCAACTGAAAGTCCCATCATGCTCAAACTGTCAGTTGCTGCTTGAGAATAAAGCTTGGCAGAGCGAAGGTTGAATAGCTTGGATGTATAATCAATCCATTCAGTGGGGCTGTGGATTGCATATTTTATGGTAATCCCTGTATACTGTTAGTAATAGGTTATACATCGGTGTATGCGAGGAAGTCCTGAAACAAGTCTGTACTCATTGAATCACACACTCTGCTTCCTCACACACAGACTGAATTTTAACAGTGATAGTAATGAGCACTCCTGCCTCTTCAACTGCTGTTAAACAGAATATAATCTGTAATCTCTGTTGGGATGTCCATATTTATATCATGTAATGTCAATGGAAAATGCTTACAATACGACTGAATTAAAACCGATGGTAAACTGCTTAGTTTTTTTTGGCCTTTTAATTCTTTATGTACCATAAAATTGTGACAAAATTCTAACCAAAACTGCTTAGTTGTAAAAATGTTCCAGTTCATCCTGCCAAAAGGATATTTTGATCTACATTTTCGCATAAAGAGATTTTCTGACCAACCCCATGATATAAGCCTCCTTAGCCCTGGATCTCTTAAGGTAGTGATGCATTGAGTGGCTCAGTGGCAGGATACCAATGTGTTTTTGTTCCATTATACATTCCATTTAAGTGACCGTACCCTACCCAGAATACCCTAGTATATAATTGTGCCTATCTCTTGTCTGAGCATCTACCGAGCGACCAATTTTTTTTATTCTTCCTCATGTTTTACTTTTCTTTTCACAAAAAGTACAACTACTATGCCCTATCAAATGTAACCTTTGCATGTCTACTTTAACCCCATTGACGTGTTCTACCAAACCTGTGCTTATAACTTTGCCCTACAAAAGTAAAGAATGTTTAAAAACTTTAAAAACTATGGAGCAAATTCAATTTCATTAAAAAAAAAAAAAGTGGGATAATTTTGTGATAATAAAAAAAATTAAAAATAAATAATAGTAATTTGACTAGATTAATAATTTTCCTAAGGCCACCTCTGAATTCCCTCAAATCAATCATCAGTTGTTATAACTTTTTCTAAAAATGGACAATTCAAAATCCTTTTCCAAATGGTCATAAAATAAGGCAATTTGGAGTTTGATAATTGATGTCATTATAGAGTACATGATTCTCCTTATCTCCTTGATTTACTGCAAACATTGATATGTTACAAAGTAAATTATGAAATTTCTGGATATCATCCGAATGTGCTCTTGAAATGCCTTCAGCATAATAAATAGTAAAGCTAAGTCAAATTGGAACATTTCTCTGTTGAGAAAAACTTTTGCTGTTGAAAATAATCTATTTTGACGCACTATTTTGTACCAAATCATTATACTTACCAGCTTGGTGGTAGTTAAAGGACCACTATAGTGCCAGGAAAACATACTCGCCGGGCTCTGGAGAGAGGAAGGGGTTAAACACTTACCTTTCTCCAGCGCCGGGCGGGGAGCTGTACTCCTCCTCTCCTCCTTGCTCGCGACGTCATCGGCTGAATGCGCATGCGCGGCAGGGGCCGCGCGCGCATTCAGCCGGTCGCATAGGAAAGCATTTACAATGCTTTCCTATGGACGCTTGCGTGCTCTCACTGTGATTTTTCACAGTGAGAAGCACGCAAGCGCCTCTAGCGGCTGTCAATGAGACAGCCACTAGAGGCTCTGGAGGCTGGATTAACCCTCAGTATAAACATAGCAGTTTCTCTGAAACTGCTATGTTTAAAAAAAAAAAGGGTTAATCCTAGAGGTACCTGGCACCCAGACCACTTCATAAAGCTGAAGTGGTCTGGGTGCCTAGAGTGGTCCTTTAATGTTTTAAGATCTAATGCAGTTGTGATAGGAGCAAATTTGAAACATATTGTATTTGGTTCATTAATGCAGAATTCATGCAATATACTTATAGATTTTGCACTCAAAATTCAACTGATGGCACAGTGGCATCCCA